ATAATGATGGAGATGGGTGAATGTGGAAATATGGGAATGGGAATAGGAAAATGGGAAAATGGGAATGGGAAAATGGGAAAATGGGAATATAGGATTGGGAAAATGGGAATATGGGATTGGGAAATGGGGTCAGGGACACCCCCGGCCCCGGGGAAAGGGGCAGAGGGAAGAGGAGGAAAAAAGAAGGAAAGCAGAAAAGAGAAGTGTGAGAAAGAAGGAAAAAAGGGAAAGTGAAGGGAAAAAAGTGGAAAATAAGGAGGAAAAAGCAGAAATGGGAGAAAAAAAGAGAGGGAAAGAAATGGGAAAAGTGGGAGAAAATGGGGGAAACAAAAAAATATTGAAGGAAAGAGGAAGAGAAAAGAAAGGGGGAAGAAAGGGGGGGAAAAGGGGGAAAGAAAGGGGGAAAAAGGAGAAAGAAGAAGGGCCGGGGGGAAGGAAGTGAAGGAAATAAATGAAGGAAATAAAGGAAGAAAATAAATGAAGGAAATCAATAAATCAAATAAAGGAGGAGGAAAATCCAACGGCTGGGGGGAAGGAAATAAAGGAAGAAAATAAATGAAGGAAATCAATAAATCAAATAAAGGAGGAGGAAAATCCAACGGCTGGGGGGAAGGAAATAAAGGAAGGAAATAAACAAAGGAAATCAATTAATCAAATAAAGGAGGAGGAAAATCCAATCACCGGGAGAAAGGAAATTAAGGAAATAAAGGAAGAAAATAAATTAATCAAATAAAGGAGGAGGAAAATCCAACGGCCAGGGGAAGGAAATGAATGAAGGAAATAAATGAAGGAAATAAAGGAAGGAAATAAAGGAAGGAAAGAAATAAATCAAATAAAGGAGGAGGAAAATCCAATCACCAGGAGGAAGGAAATGACGGAAATAAAGGAAGGAAATAAATGAACCAAATCAATAAATCAAATAAAGGATAAAAGGGGGAAAGGAGGGAAAGGAAAGGAATGAGGGAAGGGAATGGAGGAAGCAGGAGAAGGAACGGGGAAAAGGAAAGGAAGGAATAAAGGGGAAAAGGAAAGGAATAAAGGGAAAAGGAAGGGAATAAAGAAGAAAAGGATAAAGGAAAGGAAAAGGAAGGGAATAAAGGGGTAAAGGAAGGGAATAAAGAGGAAAAGGAAAGGAATAAATGGGAAAAGGATAAAGGAAAGGAAAAGGAAGGGAATAAAGGGGTAAAGGAAGGGAATGAAGGGCAAAAGGAAGGGAATGAGGAAGGGAGCACAGGAAGAGCCCCGAGGAAGCCCCAGCAGAGCCAGGCCCCACCTCCCCCGTGCCCAGGCCAAGCAGAGCAGCAGCCAGGCAGAGCCCAGAGCCCACAGAGATCCCAGAGAGACCCCAGAGCCCAGAGAGATCCCAGATCCCAGGGCAGATCCCAGAGAGACCCCAGATCCCAGATCCCAGAGCAGATCCCAGAGAGACCCCAGATCCCAGGGCAGATCCCAGATCTCAGGGCAGATCCCAGGCAGATTCCAGATCTCAGGGCAGATCCCAGGGCAGATCCCAGATCGATCCCAGGCAGATCCCAGGGCAGCCCCCAGCCCCCAGGGCAGCCCCCAGGCGGCGGGGAGGGGCAGCGGAGCCCTCCGGGGCCGGGCTCACCTTCTGGGCCCCGGAGAAGGCGTGGTAGAAGCAGGACACGTAGGTCATGATGGCCTTCTCGTCGGGCCGCAGCGTGCCCACGATGTCTGCCCGGGGGAGAGCAGAGCACAGCCCCAGCTCCAGCAGCATTCCCACCTCCCTGCCCGGGCCCGGGATCCCCCGGGCGGCTCACGGGGGTCTGTCCTGCCCTGGCCCCGCTCCCCAACCCCCCCGGGGCAGGGGGGCTGCCTGGAGCCTCGGCCCGCCCTGCACGTGGATATTGGATCATGGGAACACGCTGGGAAAACCGGGATTGGATCCCGGGAACACGCGGGGAAAACCGGGATTGGATCACGGGAATCCATAGGAAAAATGGGAGTCAGATCCCGGGAACCCGCCGGGAAAACCGGGATTGGATCATGGGAACACGCAGGGAAAACCGGGAATGGATCATGGGAACCCGCCGGGAAAACCGGGATTGGATCACGGGAATCCATAGGAAAAATGGGAGTCAGATCCCGGGAACCCGCCGGGAAAACCGGGATTGGATCATGGGAACACGCAGGGAAAACCGGGAATGGATCATGAGAATCCGTGGGGAAAACCAGGAATGGATCATGGGAATCCGTGGGGGAAATGGGAGTGAGATCCTGGGAATAACCAGGGAAAACCGGGATCGGATCCCAGGAATTTGTGGGGAAAATGGGAGAGAGAGATCCCGGGAATCCGCGGGGAAAACTGGGATCAGATCCCGGGAATTCGCAGGGAAAATGGGGATCAGATCCCGGGAATTCGCAGGGAAAATGGGGACTAGATCCCGGGAATACGCGGGGAAAGCAGGGATCAGATTCCAGGAATTCACAGGGAAAATGGAGATCAGATCCTGGGAATCCACATGGAATTTGGGAATTCTGACCCTGCCTGTGCCCAGCCCGCCCTGGGGAATGGAAGAGGAAGAGGAAGAGGAAGAGGAAGAGGAACAGGAAGAGGAAGAGGAAGGGGAAGAGGAAGGGGAAGATGAAGAAGAAGGGGAAGGGGAAGGGGCAGGACCTGATGTGGAAGTTCTGGACGTTGACGTTCTTGTACGGAGCCGTTTTGCGCTGGCACCAGAGCAGCAGCCCCTCCTTGGCCGAGGTCTCTGCGGGAGCAGGATCAGACTGGGGGGATCCCGGGGGATCCCAGGGGCAGATCCCAGGGTGGATCCCACAGTCCCAGGGGCAGATCCCAGGGTAGATCCCACAGTCCCAAGGGGCAGATCCCAGA